TGGATGAACTGATATCTGAGGTTTACAATTTTATGACAGCATGTTTATCGGTACACTTGTAGAAATAAATTAACTGATCCATTTGAATTTCCAAAGTTTTCGTTAGAACATATTGGCAGGTCAGGAGCTATCGTAACGCGTGAGAAACTTGATTGGCTGAATAAACAACATTTGATTCGTAAATGCGAATCTCCAAATGGATTAGCAGAACTTGTTTCATCATTAAAACCGTTGGTATATGAACAATTTGGCGAACAGTAAGATGATTTACTATTATAGAGTTTTTTTAGAGTTATATGTTGATTTTTGAAATTTAGGTTTAACGAATCAGATAAGAAACACAAACTTGGAGATGTATATCTTTCCGAGGTTATTATAACAATTAAAGTAAGAAATGTACCTTTGTTTATTACTGTTGTCAAAATGGTTAAAAATTTTTTTAATATCATGTATTTTCATGCGCGCTTGCTTCACCAATAGCAAAATTTTTTTGCTACTGATGATTTCAAGTTAGTATACATGGTATTTTATTAGATTCAAGCAATAACATTAGTGATTCTGTTTTTATGTTACATGAAAATCAAACTATTTTATTGGCTGCCAATAGTTACATGTTAGAAGGTTGTTACTATTAAATTCATTTTATATTATAAAATATGATATCTTTAGGATCGAATACAAAATATAAAAGATATACCAAAATTATGTGGATATTTTTTTGTTCACCCTGATTATGACTCTCCAGAATCCAAAGTTGTTAGATCAAACATTTATGACAATGATTTAAGTTAGTAAAAATTATTTATTTTTTTTATTGTTTGACTTGTAAATAAATTAATATTCACATTTAAAATTTTAGAATTAGTAGCTACAATTGCATTGAAACAGATTAGGCTCCTTAATCAAATTGAATTTGAAGTTGATACTATTAAATCTGTTATTAATAATATTACTTCAATTAGTCAGCTTAAGCGAAATCAAGTTTTGATGGCTTTGAGATATATTATTACTGGAGTTAAGGTTAATATTTTTATATTTTCAACAATTTATTTAAATAATTAGATTATTTATTTATTAATTTATAAAGTATTATTTTTTGATGCATCTTGCAT